GCTCCCATCCCGCCCTCCCCGGCTGCCGGGGTGACAGGAGCAGCGGCAATAACCCTGCCGGGATCGATGTCACCCCCCCGTTCTCGGTGCTGATCGATGGAATTATCGATCGCGTTATCGATTGGCGATCGATGGCCCCGAGCCGGGGCGGCCGCACAAAGGCAGCGCCCGCAGTCGAGGAAATCGGGAAGCGTTATATAAGGAAGCCTGGGAAGTCTGCGTCATCCCGGATGGGGAGGGGGCCCGGCGCTCCCTCCCCCCCACCTCCCATCCCAGCATTTTTTATTGGATTGGATTTTCCCGGAGCGTTTTCCAGCTGCCTTTCCCCAGAACCGCCCGTCCCAGATGGACCCCCTGGAATTTTTATCTCTCTTCCAGACTTTGTGGAGTTTTTCGGTCTTTTCCCCCCATTTCAGGGCATGATTCCTGCTGGAATTCCTGCTCTCCTCCCGCATCCCCAAACCCCTGGGGTGGGATGAGGTGTGAGGCCGGTGGTGCCGGACACGGCACCGGCATTCCCGGCTCCCGAGAGATGGAGTTGGACAAGAGCACAAACTCAGGAGGGAAGGGAAGCACTTTTTGGGAGGGAGGATTTCCCTCCTTTCCCGCTTTTCCTGCTTCCCATCGTTAGTTTTGTACTTGACACGGAGCTGCAGAATCCGGGGACATCCCAGGCTGGTGGCGGTGACCCGGAATCCGGGAGATCCGGGCTCTGGGAGATCTGGAATCCGGGAGATCCGGGGTCTGGGAGATCCGGAATCCAGGAGATCCGGGCTCTGGGACCGGTGTGCCGGAGCAGGGTCAGGTTTCCCCACGTTGGATCCGGGAACAGCAGAACTGGAGCGGTTTGCTCCATAGGAATTCCCTCTCTGCCCCATCCCAACCCTTCCGTCTTATTCCCGTTCCTTTTTCCTGCCGGGAGCAGCCAGGTCCCCGTGCATTCCGGGACGGCTCCGGGGCCGTTTTTAGGGCTTTGTGTTTTTAGGGCTTTTCGGGTGTTGCTTTAAATCCCGGCGCTCGTTCTGCTCCGGGGAAAATCTCCCGGAGCCACCCTCCGCCTCCCTTACCTGCCTGAGAATTCCCGCACGGAGCCGGGCGTTCCTCTGGATTCCCGGACGCGTCCCTGGATCGCTGGGATCAGAGCAGCGCGGTTTTTATTCAGCCCTGGAGTTTTCCTCCCTTCCCTTTCCAGCGGCGTTCCCGGATCCCGCTCCGGATCCCGCCGCCGGCCGCCGAGCCGTTAAATCCTAATTACCTTTTTAGGTTGTTATCCTTTTCCTGACGTTCCTTGGGAATGCTCGCCCTGGGAGCCAGCCATTTTGTGTTCCGTGCCGGAACGCGTTTTATGACGCCGCCGTCGGGATGTGCCGAGCCCAGATGGAATTGGAGCCGCCTCGTGCCGGGCTCCGGGAAGCCCCTGGAGCGGGATTTCGGCCGGATGGCTCCGGATGAGGAGCCGGCCCCGTGGATTTCCCGCGGGATCGGCGGGGCTCGAGGCGGGATCCTGGGATTCGAGGGGGGTTCGGGCAGCGGGAGCGCGCCCAGGTGAGCGGGAGGAGTTGGATCTCACCGGTTCCTGATCCCGGGAAAACGGGATTTCAAAGGGATTTAAATGGATTTGACTCCATCGGGCTCGTATCCAGGTGGTGTCCTGGGTCTGGAGCGAGGGATGGTGCTGGGAGCTCTGCAGCACCTTGGCTCCGGGGCCGGATGCTCCCGTGGGGCGTTACGGATCACGCCGGCCCTCTCCTGGGATTCATCCTGGCATTCCAGCCCCAAACGGAGACTCGGGAATTCTCTGGGTCCCCTGGGGCCTCTTCCTGGGAATGCCAGAGGCTTCTTGGATCCCAGGGATCCACCTCGGCTCCTCCGGGGCAGCTCCGCTCGGCAGAATTCCAGCGCTGCTGGAGCAGGGTCGGGAGAGCGGAGGGAGCCGGGGAGACCTCGCGGCACCGGGAGCACGTGGATCCCTCGTGGAGGATCAGGGATCCCTCGTGGCGGATCAGGGATCGTTCCTGGTGCTGGATCAGGAATTACAAGCCCTCCATGAGCTCCGGAGGGTCCGAGGCCGGGAATTGGGGCTGGAAGAGCCAACACGGGGTTTGACCCAACGGAAAACGCTCCAAGGAGGCTGGGAAGGGGCTGGAACCTCCCTGGATAAACTCCGGCTGGAATTAACTCCTGGCGCTGCCGAGTCTTGGTTCTGGATTCCATCGGGTAAATCCCGGGATTTTCCCTCCTGGCTGCATCTCTCCCTGGATATTCCCACTTCTCCCTGGAATATTCCTTCTTTTGGCCCAGCTCGCTGGTTCCAGCCGTTCAAATCCTCCCGCTGATGTTTTTGTTGTTGTTGTTGGATTTTTTTTTCCCCCCGTGGGCGCCACATCCAATATCCATGGAAAACGGGGCGCTGCTTTGTTTGTCTGCGAACGCCAAACCCGTCCTGCCGGGCCCCGTGGAGCAGGAAAAGCGCCCGGAGCCGGCGGAACGTGCCGAGGAGCGCGCGGTGCCGGAGCGGGGACGGCAGCGGCGTCCCCACGGAGCGAGCCGGGCCCCGGCACCCCGGCATTCCTGGAAAGCATTCCAAGGTCAGCCG